CCCTCCCAAAACACAATAACAAATGTAATGGATTTCAGGGTTATAATGGGAATTTGTTTGGTTTTAATGTAAACTATAATGGTGTCTATTTGATGGATTCTGTTGGTGGGATGTAATCTGGCAGATGGCAACCAATAGAACAACAGTAATTCCTATTGGAATAATGCCCAAAACAAAAAGGAATTTTGTAATGGTTTAATGGAAACTATAAGAATTTCTGTGATAGTTTCTATTGTTTTTTTCAGCAGGGTAATGATACCCATACTGTGCTGCACATTATTGACAATATTGAGCTGAAGCTTGACTTTGCAAATTTAAAATCGCAAATCAAATCGCAATATCTGTCAAAAAAATCGCAATTTGATATTTTCCCCCAAATCGCACAGCCCTACTTCAGAGTCAGTTTTACAGCAGTGTTTGTTTGAACTGCTGAACATTTTTCTCTTATCTAGAGCTGCTCTCTGTTCATTAGAATGAACAGAGGGAAGGATCTGTGGAATTTTGTGACATACATATAGGTAGATTTGAGAGAGACGAGCAAGTTAAATGAGTGAGAACTACTGTGCAAAGTCAAACTTTTAATTGAATTAGTTCGAGCGGTCATTGTCCCTGAATGTCTGTGAAAGGACACAATGGCTGATTAGCACTGCATTAGCTGAGTGAGACATGGGGTGAGGAATAGGCTACAGCACAAAGGAGTGTTTGTATTTGTTATGTACTAAGCATCATAAGCCATTATATTCATGTCTGCCTTTATACTCTAAGAGAGATTCTCAAAGTCAAGCCCCTTACAGCTAAGCTAATTAAATCAAGTCCATGTGGGATCAAGACATGTTTGCTGGGGGCTACAGAATACAGCACTAAATTAACTATATATAGTAGGATACAAAAATCTGAGACCACATTGAAAATATGAGAAAAGTGGCTTTAACTACTATGTACTTACATAAAAAATAAGTGCAATATACTTATTCATATTGTTCATATTGTATTGCAAAACACATGCTGCTATTGAGTTGGGATATGGGTAAGGTTAGGGACAGGTTTGGTGGTATGGGTAGGTTTAAGGGTGGGTTAAGGTGTAAGGGAGGGGTCAGCAGTGTAACTATAAATGTAATTACAGAAAATAATTACAGATGTAATTACATGCAGGTATTTTTTTTTAATATAAGTATAGTACGAGCATTACGAGACAGGCTGCGTGAGTGCGGCAAGCATGAACGGCTCGTCCGTGACACAGGATTCGTGCCGCGTCGGGCAGAGAGTAGCGAGTATGAGAAGCATTCACAGACACAGGCTGTGTGTGCGCTCTTCTGAATTGGGAATAGCCAACATGCATTATAAACTTATTTCAAATTAATCTGTTGGGGAGATAAAATGTGTAAGATAACGTTCACGTACTAACAAAAACATCTAAGAATGTATCTTTTATTCTCCAGTACTGAAAACAGAACCAATAAGGGAGCTTTTGATATGCGCTGTGACGCAGCTCTTGCAAATTACCTTTTTTGTTCGTTGTCTGTCATTTTGAAGCTTAAGTTGCATACGGTTTTCTTTAGTTTTAATTTGCCTAACTATCGATCTGACCCAGTAGACGCCATAATCCCACTCTGTCTCTCCTCCCGTCCCACGTTCCAGTTTTTTTCTTTTCTTTTTTTTTAATGGTGGGTGTTTACGCAGTTGGCTAGAGCAGTGCTGATTGGGGAGAACGGAGGTGCGCTCACTCTTGCCCAGGGCAAGTAAGAAACTCAAGGCTGGCTGTCATGCATATGCTCTGGAGTAATATCGCGTCCATATCGCAGGCTTTGCGAGTAGGAAA